GTATAAGCCTTCAAGAGTCTAGGGTTTGCGATAGGCGGAAACCAAGAACCGTGACCGGAACACGGGTTAGTGGGAAGACGAGGACCGAAGTGGAAAGTTTGGTGGGTCGGCCGGGCGAGAAAGATGACGAGAAAAGCCACTCCGACTGCCGAGGCCGAGAAGTGGCGTCGGATGAAGGATCCGACGTTGTCGGAACGTAATATTGTCATGAATGGAAAAGTTTCTTTGAGTTAAAACGTGTCTGGGACGAGAGTGTACGTTGTCGGAATATAATACATGGGTGCAACCACTACCGTTGACAAAAATCTCATGACGGGTTGTATTGGAATTAAAGGGTAAAGAAAAAGATTTAGTAAATCTTGGTTTTGGTTTATTTTAATAATTATTATTATATTAATTAAAATTTTATCATATTTAAGATGGTGGTAATATGCATTAATGGGTGACAGTAAAGCAATTTTTGAGCTTTTTCAATTTTGACTTTCTTTGGTTTGGTCGAGAAGGTGATCCCAAGGAATGCACATAAACACATAGGTCGTCTAACAACTAGACATAACACCTTCCTAAATCTTTCATTTTTCTTGTAATAATATGACATCTCAATTTGTAGACATTTTCTCGTCAATATATTTGTTTACCATATGCGGTTTTACTAATTTTTAAATAACCATACACATTATAATTAAAACTACAAGGTAATGCTTATGATTCATTACCAATACTATCATCTCAAAATTTAGGTTGATATATTTCGAAAAATATATCGATGTGAATCTTTAGAGAAGATAAATTCACATATTTATTTACACCAGAAAATTCTTTTTTTTTTTAAATTGCGGTGGATCATTACATTACAAAATTATATTTATTTGCGAATTATAGAGAAAGTGATGATTAATAAAAAGATTTGTTTCGAAAGGGGCAAATTAGGAAAACAAATCGGATGGTTGATTCCACCAGAAACACGGTTTCACGAACTTTTTCCGATCTTTCTTTTTTTATATACAATTTGTTGGGAAACTAAATATGTAATCACAAAATCAAATATTCAAATCGGTAGACCGGAAAATAAAAACTTACCCCTAGGAATTTTATTACAATTAGAATGGTCATGAAACCAAAGTAGAAATGGTCAATCCGATCTTTGTACGAAATCAACCAAATTATTTAATTACGCCATTTTACGTACGCATGATAAGTAATCATTAGTAGTTAAGTTATATGTTTTGATATTCATATCCTGAAAAATACTGTGAGCTCGGTGGCTAACTATAATAAAAACTTGTTGACTTCGTTTATATATATACATTTGATTTAAGGTATGTAAATGTTGCTACTTTCGTTTTATGTATTATTCACAAACTTGAGAATTGTTTTTCTATTTATTGTATGATTTTATTCAAAAAAAATATATGTAATCCTATAGATATTGAATTTATTTAAGTTAATTGCAATTATAGATGAAACTCGAAGGCTAATCAAACATTAATTATAATTTAGGCCACTTGCATGTGAAGAAAGTCGATTTCGGGAGAGAAAGTCCAATAACCATTATAAAATTCATATGGTAGATATTAAACTTTTTATTTACACACATTAATATACATATAGTATAAAATGTATAATTTTTATATTTTTTAAGAACCGTAAGCGGAATATTTAAGCATGAAATTGCATGGGAACATATTTTTATCAAAAAACAACACTACAAAAAAAATGGTCATTTTCAACGGATAAATCTGTTGGAAATGGCCAAATTTCCGTTGGACCGTTGGAATTTCGTCGTTAGAAATCGATGTCCGTTGGACAACCGTTGGAATTTTCAACGGAATTTTAACGATTTTTTCCATTGGAATTTTTTAACGGAATTTCCAACCGCAATCCGTTGGAATTTTCCAACGAAAAATTCAAAACATATTCTTGATTTCGATCCTGATCCCGACTTCGATCCCGACTCCAACCTCGATCTCGACTACGATCCCAACCCCGACCCGACCCCGACCACGATCCGAAAAGCTCACTTCTCAATAGGTCACTCATCCTTCCACTACTCCAACTTAATCCTCCTAAACCTTAGAGTTCCAATTGACAATCATCCAACTGTTCCAAGTTAAAATTCTGATACCATATAACATTAATATATATATATATATAAATATTTATATACATATATATATATATACGTATATATATAAATATTTATACGTATAGATATTCAAATTCATATATACATATATAATATTATATATATATATATGGTTAATATATACATATCGATATATATATACTTATTCGTATATATATGTATATATAAACATTATATTTGTATATATAAAAATATATATAAACAAAATATATCTATATTTATATACATATATATGTATACGTATAAATATATAAAATATATATATAGACATATATATATTATTTATATATATATATATTAGTATATATATATATCAATTGATTTTTCAACTAAAATCCAAATTTTCAACCGATATCCATTGGAATTCCGTTGGAATTTGTTTTTTTTTCAATTTCCAAAAAAATTTCCAACCGACATCCGTTGGAATTCCATTGGAATTGTTTTCCAACCAACATCCGTTGGAATTCCGTTAGAAATTTTCAACTGATTTTTTCAACAGATATACGTTGGAAATTTTCAATCCAATTTTTCAATTGAATACGTTGAAAATTCCGTTAAAAATTTCCAATGGATGGTTCCAATGGATATCCGTTAGAAATTTCAATGGAAATCTTCGTTAAAAATCGTTGAAAATCCGTTGAAAAATTTCCAACGGACAAAACCGTTGGAATTCGATGATTGTTTTTGTAGTGCAGTTACCATGATTTGTCAACTTTTATTTATTTTCATAATAAATGATATGATTCGAATTCTAGTTACGAATTTAAAGAACATTTGTAAAACATTCCATCAAGAAACTGTGACACCCGTAACCCGTGTACAGTATACGGGCTGTGCCACATGGACGATATAAAATAAAACAACAATTTGGCGGAAGCGGAAATACGAAATCCAAAAACATTTTTAAATCAAATCAGAGTAAGCAGCGGAAAATACAACAGGCGATCAATATCGCAAAATAACACATGTCCGAATAGTTATAATTTAACCGTACAAAATGTGGGAAATACAAGTCTCGCAAACCAAAACGTAAATCCCGTACATGATGCTGCCTCTCTCAAGTCGTCGTCTGCCGGATGCGCTAGGCGTAATCCTCGTGATCTGAAAAATGTAAACCACGAGGGCTAAGCACAACTGCTTAGTGAGTAGCCCGGGTTGAACCCGGAAATCCCGTTCTCAACGAGAACGGTACAATCGACATTTCCATATAAAAACACATGCGACGAATATATCAACACAATAAGCTCACGAAAAGCAATCACAATCACGCCCGTATGGAGTCCACCATAGGGCTTAGCCGTATACCCTGGTCAAGTCCATGACCAGGGGCGAATCCACGCCCGTCACTCGCGTGACGTTGGCCATCGCATCACATGCGATCGTGCGCGTCTCCTGCGCCCGTCACTCTCGTGACAACCGATGTCGAGTCCACGACACAACGGAAACATAATCATATTCCTGTGGAGTCCACCACAGGGTCCAGCCATATACCCTAGTCAAATCCATGACTAAGGGCGAGTCCACGCCCGTCAAGTCCATGACGTTGGCCGTCGTGTCGCACACGACAAAAATGCATCTCAGATGCGTGTCAAGTCCATGACACCGACGGTTGAGCCCACAACCGTCCACAAGCACAATCACGCCTGGCTCGTACGCACGAGCAAGCTACACACATGGCA